AAACCGAATCCAGCAGCACATCAAAAATCTTATCCACCAAGATCAAGTTGGCTTCATCCCTGGGATGCAAGACTGGTTCAATATATGCAAATGAATAAACATAGTCCATCATATAAACAGAACCAAAGACAAAAACCACATGATTATCTCAGTAGATGCAGAAAAGACCTTCGACAAAATTCAACAGCTCTTCATGCTAAAAACTCTCAATAAACTATATATTGATGAGACATATCTCAAAATAATAAGAGCTATTCATGACAAACCCACAGCCAATGTCATACTGAATAGGCAAAAACTGGAAGCATTCCCTTTGAGAACTTCCAGGGCACAAGACAGGGATGCCCTTTCTCACCATTCCTATTCAACATAGTGTTAGACGTTCTGGCCAGGGCAATCAGGCAGGAGAAAGAAATAAAGGGTATCCAATCAGGAAAAGAGGAAGTCAAATTGTCCCTGTTTGCAGATGACATGATTGTATATTTAGAAAACCCCGTCGTCTCAGCCCAAAATCTCCTTAAGCTGATAAGCAACTTCAGCAAAGTCTCAGGATACAAAATCAATGTGCAAAAATCACAAGCATTCTTATACAGCAATAATAGACAAACAGAGAGCCAAATCATGAGTGAACTCCCATTCACAATTGCTTCAAAGAGAATAAAATACCTAGGAATCCAATTTACAAGGGATATGAAGGACCTCTTCAAGAACTACAAACCACTGCTCAACGAAATAAAAGAGGACACAAACAAATGGAAGAACATTCCATACTCATGGATAGGAAGAATCAATATCGTGAAAATGGCCATACTGCCCAAGGTAATTTATAGATTCAATGCCATCCCCATCAAGCTACCAGTGACTTTCTTCACAGAATTGGAAAAAACTACTTTAAAGTCTGTATGGAACCGAAAAAGAGCCCTCATTGCCAAGACAATCCTAAGCCAAAAGAACAAAACTGGAGGCATCATGCTACCTGACTTCAAACTATACTATGAGCCTATAGTAACCAAAACAGCATGGTACTGGCACCAAAACAGAGATGTAGACGAATGGAACAGAACAGAGCCCTCAGAAATAATACCACACATGTACAACCATCTGATCTTTGACAAACCTGACAAAAACAAGAAATGGGGAAAGGATTCCCTATTTAATAAATGGTGCTGGGAACACTGGCTAGCTGTAAGTAGAAAGCTGAAACTGGATCCCTTCCTTACATCTTATACAAAAATTAATTCAAGATGGATTAAAGACTTAAATGTTAGACCTACAACCGTAAAAACCCTAGAACAAAACCTAGGCAATACTATTCAGGACACAGGCATGGGCACGGGCTTCATGTCTAAAACACCAAAAGCAATGGCAACAAAAGCCCAAATAGACAAATGGGATCTAATTAAACTAAAGAGCTTCTGCACAGCAAAAGGAACCACCATCAGAGTGAACAGGCAACCTACAGAATGGGAGAAAATTTTTACAACCTACCCATCTGGCAAAGGGCTACTATCCAGAATCTACAAAGAACTCAAACAAATTTACAAGAAAAAAACAACTCCATCAAAAAGTGGGCGAAGGATATGAACAGACACTTCTCAAAAGGAGACCTCTGTGCAGCCAAAAGACGCATGAAAAAATGCTCATCATCACTGGCCGTCAGAGAAATGCAAACCACAATGAGATACCATCTCACACCAGTTAGAATGGCGATCATTAAAAAGTCAGGAAACAACAGGTGCTGGAGAGGATGTGGAGAAATAGGAACACGTACACTGTTGGTGGGACTGTGAACTAGTTCAACCATTGTGGAAGACAGTGTGGCGATTCCTCAAGGATCTAGAACTAGAAATACCATTTGACCCAGCCATCCCGTTACTGGGTATATACCCAAAGGATTATAAGTCATGCTGCTGTAAAGACACATGCACACGTATGTGTATTGTGGCACTATTCACAATAGTAAAGACCTGGAACCAACCCAAATGTCCATCAATGATAGATTGGATTAAGAAAATGTGGCACATACACACCATGGAATACTCTGCAGCCATAAAAAAGCATGAGTTCATGTCCTTTGCAGGGACGTGGATGAAGCTGGAAGCCATCATTCTGAGCAAACTATCGCAAGGAGAGAAAACCAAACACTGCGTGTTCTCACTCATAGGTGGGAATTGAACAATGAGAACACTTGGACATAGGGTGGGGAACATCACACACCAGGGCCTGTTGTGGGGTGGGGGGAGGGGGGAGGGATAGCATTAGGAGATATACCTAATGTAAATGACAAGTTAATGGGTGCAGCACACCAACATGGCACATGTAGACATGTAAAACAAACCTGCACATTGTGCACATGTACCCTAGAACTCAAAGTATATAAAAAAAAAATGTGCAGGAGCAGCAAGCAGTTCCCATGCTACCCTAGATCTGAGGAGTAGCTTTGGGTGCATTCCTGAAAGTGCAGCCTAGAATCTGTTTATTGATCCATTTAGTACTGACACAAGCCTGTAATATGCTGTAATAAACTTTCTCTTTAAAGGAAAAAAGAGGTTGACCATGTGTTTATAATTGTTAAAGCTGGGTGATGGATACATGAGTGTTTAGTATACTATCATTTCTAGTATTGAATGTGTTTAAAATTTTGAAATTTTCCATAATGGTTAAAAATTATAACCTATCCAGATTTGGTTGTACATAAGAATAATCTGGGAGAGTTATTTAAAATGCTAATTTCTGGACCTCCACCCCAGAAAAGTCCAGTTGAGTTGGACAGAGGTAAGGCCCAGAAATCTTTGTTTGTAATAAGCATCCAGTATTGAATAAAATTGCTTTAGGGGGTGGAAGCCATTGAATATTGAGTATGTGAATGACAGGAGCAAATTTGTCCCTCCATATTTGAACACACTGACTCCACTGGTTAATGAAGTGGAAAGGAGTGAGATAAGAGGCAGTTGTAGTAATCCCGGAAAGGGCCATGGATGTGAACAGTGAGGTAGACTGAAGATAGGCCATGGGAGACAGATAAAAGAAACACACAGGAAATGGGATTGGTGAAACCACGTGATTACTGGAAGGTGAGAGATAAAAGCACAGTAAATATTCCACAAATTTCTGATTGGGTTATTGGATAGATGGTGAGGCTGTTCTTTAAGTGAAGGAACATAGGAAAGGAATTGTGTTTGGTCGTTTTTATAAGACATGAGTGTGATGTGTGGGTGGTTGTAGTATATGAAGTAAGTAGGATGAAGCTATGCAGTTGTGTATTGAGCTACTGGATAAAGAGAATGGAGAGAGGCTATTGAACAGGAGGAATATTAAGAGATAGGGATTACCTCCAAATTCCTAACACTGCTTTAACCCCAGAGACTTCAAATCTCTTTTCTTGGATTTCCCCATATGTGAAAAGGAAGTAGAAACAGCTATGGTAGCATAAAATAATCAGCTACATCAGTGGCAGCCTTAAGATTGGAAAACCAGGAAAGGGCATTCTTCTTTTCCCTTTCTGCAGAACTGGTCTTCAGGGTCTCCTGTTTCTACTCTCTCATTTTTACCGCACCCCTTCCACTCTCTTCCCCTCCCGCCGTTCCAGGGTGGAGAGTTCTGAGGAGCCTGTATATGAGAGCCTTGAAGAGTTTCACGTCTTTGTCCTTGCTCATGTGCTTAGGAGGCCCATAGTCGTCGTGGCAGACACCATGCTGAGGGACTCTGGAGGGGAAGGTGAGTCAGCCAGTCAGTCCTCACTCCATCCTGAGCACCCCCTTTTGCAGAGCCTTAGGCTAAGCATTGGAAGGAAGGCAGGAAAGGGGATATATAGACCCTTGGGGAAAAAGCAAGTTATCAATTAGAATAGTGCAAAATTCTCAAGAGATTCTGAGTAAAGCAGTTGGGATTAGTTGACAGGGCTTCTTAGGAAAGAATTATTAAACATGTTGGAATGAAAGCAGGGGCTCAGTTGGCAGAATGGGATGAAGGGATTGTCCACTAGGCAGAAACATAGCCTTCATAATAATCTTCATGGCTTCCTGCAGCATTTGCCCCTATTCCCTTTGGAGGAATCTATCTGCCTTTGGAGGTCCCAGCCAGCCAATGTCACCGCTCTCCTCTGGTGCTCGCATATGATCAGGCCCACTTTTCTGCACTCGTGTCCATGGAGCAGAAGGAGAATACCAAGGAACAAGGTGCTGAATGACATGTCTTTTGGTCTGCATTATTTTTACTTGAAAAACTTGAATGAGATCTAATGTAGGAGGAAAGAATTAAGTGACATGCAAGCCCAGACAGCACATGTTGATACTGTTTTGCTATAAGTTATGCCAGAGTTTTCAAATTAAAAAAAAAAAAAAAGGGGGGGTTTGGGAGTAAAGCAAGACCTATATTCCCACTTCTGGAGTAAAGGCTTATGATTAAGGTGGTAAGAGCTTCTAAATGATGCTTTTCTAATTTGTGTTAAATTATGACTGAATTATCTGAATATACATTAACTGGAAAGAACATCGTGAGAGTTAGTTAACTGACTTGTGGGGACTCAGGGAGATTTGTGGCCTAAAACATGTGCTGTGTGGTAGCGGGAAAACTAGCCAATTAGTTTTAATGCTGGGCTAATTCACATGTAAGAACTGAGAAGTGACTACAATTAAAGATCTTAGTATGATTTTAGTGAAGTAAGTCTGTGTTCATTTGCCTTTCTCTCCCAAGGAAATTCCTTAATGATATGTTTCTTCCTCCCCAGCTGTGATCCCACTTACAGATTCAGAGTATAAGCTGCTGCCCTTGCACTTTGCTGTGGACCCTGGAAAAGGATGGGAGTGGGGCAAAGATGATAATGACAATGTCCGATTGGCCAGGTAAGCCAGGCCTAGTCTTTTCATCTACTTTGTAGCTGGGATTTCTTCCACATGCAGCATCCATCTCCCCGGGATTTTTCCTCAGCTCAGGCAAGACGGTCACAAGCTAAGGCGAGTTTTGTGAAGATGGGGAGGTAGAGGACAGGTTGGGCACCGGGACTCTTTCATGGTGTAGCTGCTTTTTCTCCCTCTGAAAGAGATGGGAATCCTAGCATCTCAACTTGTTCTTTTCTTACAATAGGAAAAGTGTTCATGTACTGATTCATTCCTAAAAGAGTAATCAGAAAATCAGGATAATAAGGCCGGGCGTGGTGGCTTATGCCTGTAATCCCAGCACTTTGGGAGGCCGAGGTGGGTGGATCACGAGGTCAGGAGTTCAAGACCAGCCTGGTCAATATGGTGAAACCTCATTTCTACTAAAAATAAAAAAGTTAACTGGGTGTGGTAGCGTGCACCTGTAGTCCCGGCTACTTGGGAGGCTGAGGTAGCAGAATCACTTGAACTCGGGAGCTGGAGGTTGCAGTGAGCCGACATCGTGCCACTGCACTCCAACCTGGGTGAGAGTGAGACTCTGTCTCAAAAAAAAGAAAGAAAGAAAGAAAGAAAATCAGGAGAATCAAATCACTTATCTTAGCCCAAGTGAGAGGAGTTTTAAAGAGTTGATCAAGGCTGGACGCGGTGGCTCATGCCTGTAATCCCAGCATGTTGGGAGGCTGAGGCGGGTGAATCACCTGAGGTCGGGAGTTTGAGACCAGCCTGGTCAACATGGAGAAACCTCGTCTCTACTAAAAATACAAAATTAGCGAGGCGTGGTGGCGCATGTCTATAATCCCAGCTACTCGGGAGGCTGACGCAGGAGAATCACTTGAACCCAGGAGGCAGAGGTTGCGGTGAGCTGAGATGGTGCCATTACACTCCAGTATGGGCAACAAGAGCGAAACTCCATCCAAAATAAATAAATAAATAAATAAATAAGTGATCAAAATAGTTTGCTCTGAGTTTTTGCCCTTCTGGAATTTAAACTCATAGCAAGATAAATATGTTCCCTACCCTCTCAGCCCCCACTCTACCTCCCTATGGCTTGTTAAGCTTTCCTTCTGCCTCCTCCATCAACTTCCTGATGGAGAGTGTATGAATGCAAAAGCTCCTCCCTTAGTACTTACCCGGCGCTTTCCTCTCTGGGCTCCTGCCACTGGGTCCCAGCTAAGAGAGTTTGATTTTAAAATCCAGAGTTTATGACTTTTTAAAAATAACCTCTCACCTAATTATCAAAAGCTCCTTCTAAATAATATTTACAACAACAACAATAATAATGGCTACTGTCTAGTATTTTCCATTTTCCAGACACTGTGCTGGGCTCTTTCCAAACACTATTTTAATCTTTACAACAACCCTGCAAGATAGATATTATCTATACCCATTCTTAGCTGCAACTGAGTTTCAGGGAGGTTGAAGTGACTTGCTTAAGGTCATAAAGCTTATTAATTAGTGGAGAAATAGTTCAAACCCAACCCTATTTGAGTCCTAAGCCATGTAGCCCTCTCCCACCCTTTCTCCCAACTATATCAAGTTGCTTTGCTTTTGAAAGGTCACAGTGAATTTTTTTTTTCTCTTTTTCATAGTGTAATTCTGTCCCTAGAGGTCAAATTGCATCTGCTGCATAGCTACATGAATGTGAAGTGGATCCCACTGTCCTCTGATGCACAGGTGAAGACTTCTCCCATATCTACCCTGGTGTGTCTGCATTTCATTTTCAGTGACAGAACAAGGAGATCTGGGATGGTTTCCTTCTGAATCCATTCTGAGTGGTGGCTTACAATTCAAGGTTAGAAGTAACTAGAAGATGTCAAATAAGTTCCAAAGACACTTTTTCCTGTTTTTATTGTATTTTTTATTTATTTATATTTTTTGAGATGGAGTCTTGCTCTGTCGCCCAGGCTGGAGTGCAATGGCACAATCTTGGCTCATTGCAACCTCTGCCTCCTGGGTTCAAGCGATTCTCCTGCCTCAGCCTCCTGAGTAGCTGGGATTACAGGCATGCGTCACCAAGTCCAGCTAATTTGTGTATTTTTAGTAGAGGGCAGGTTTCGCCATCTTGGCCAGGCTGGTCTTGAATGCCTGACCTCAGATGATCTGCCTGCCTTGGCCTCCCGCAGTGCTGGGATTACAGGCGTGAGCCACCGCGCCTGGCCTTTCCTGCGTTTTTTTTTTTTTTTTTTTTTAAGAGGAAGTCTTGGCCAGGCGCGGTGGCTCACGCCTGTAATCCCAGCACTTTGGGAGGCCGAGACGGGCGGATCACAAGGTCAGGAGATCGAGACCATCCTGGCTGACACGGTGATACCCCGTCTCTACTAAAAAATACAAAAAAAACTAGCCGGGCGAGGTGGTGGGCACCTGTAGTCCCAGCTACTCGGGAGGCTGAGGCAGGAGAATGGTGTGAACCCAGGAGGCGGAGCTTGCAGTGAGCTGAGATCTGGCCACTGCACTCCAGCCTGGGCGGCAGAGCAAGGCTCCGTCTCAAAAAAAAAAAAAAAAAAAAAAAGAGGAAGTCTTGCTCTGTCACCCAGGCTGAAGTGCAGTGGCACAGCCTTGGCTCACAGCAACCTCTGCTTCGCGGGTTCAAGCGATTCTCCTGCCTCAGCCTCACGAGTAGCTGGGATTACAGATGTGTGCCACCACACCCAGCTGATATTTGTATTTTTAGTAGAGATGGGGTTTCACTATGTTGGCCAGGCTGGTCTCGAACTCCTGACCTCAGGTGATCCACCCACCTTGGCCTCCCAAAGTTCTGGGATTACAGACATGAGCCACCGCACCCGGCCCTTTCCTGCTTTTTTAAAACCGTTAGTCTCCTGTTTTCCACATCTCCTCTCCAGCCAGGCTCTGTTGTCTGATACTGAAACATATATATATTTTTTGAGATGGAGTCTTGCTCTTGTCGCCCAGGCTGGAGTGCAGTGACACGATCTCGGCTCACTGCAACCTCCACCTCCTGGGTTCAAGCGATTCTCCTGCCTCAGCCTCCCGAGTAGCTGAGATTACAGGTGCCCGCCATCATGCCCGGCTAATTTTTGTATTTTTTTCTTTGAGATGAAGTTTCGCTCTTGTTGCCCAGGCTGGAGTACAGTGGTGCGATCTCAGCTCACTGCAACTTCCGCCTCCTGGGTTCAAGCGATTCTCCAGTGTCAGCCACCTGAGTAGCTGGGATTACAGACATGCACCACCATGTCCGGCTAATTTTGTATTTTTAGTGGAGACAGGGTTTCTCCATGTTGGCCAGGCTGGTCTGGAACTCCCGACCTTAGGTGATCCGCCCACCTCGGCCTCCGAAAGTGCTGGGATTACAGGCATGAGTCACCACGCCTGGCTTAACATATTCTTTAAGAAAGGTTTTCAGGACTCTCTGTTGAACTTGAGATGATCATTATTTTGTCCTAAGTCTTCTGTAGATAGACCTCTGTTTTGGGCACTAGGAGACGGAGTAGCTTAAAGAGCTTATAATTCAGTGGGCTCTGAGTTAGAACAGGAGCACAGGAGTAAGGGCAAATTGATGAACCCCAATGCGGAATGTATAAAAGTTGAGGGGATACAAAGTGGCTAGACTTGGTTAGTTTTGATTAGTCAAGACTTTCTTGAGATTAGTTTTGAGCAGAATTTGGCATAGAGAAATTTATAATGAAGAACATTCTAGTGCCTGGGCCTCTCACCCAGAAGCCACATATCATATGGTTGCTCGTTGTTCTAAATGAACAGAAAGGCTTCATTCTACTATCTCCTTATTACAGAAGGGAGTCAGATTGCAGTGGGGGAGAAAGCTGACTGACTGGAACCCAGGAAGGACAGTGCCATCCTAGGTGACCCTTCCCTCATCATGACAGCAGCCCTTCTCTGGAGCAAGGCAGTCACTAGGCAGTCACACAAAGGACGGAGTTCATAGGTGTCCACCCTTCTTCTACCTGGCTAATTTCTATAGCCATGACTGCAGGGAGCTCCCTTAGCCAGATGGATGGGCTAGAGTCCCTGGGGGATTCCCCCATCCCGGGCTGCTGGGATAACTGTCAACAGTGTTCTTGTCTCTTCCAGGCTCCTCTGGCCCAGCCTGAGTCCCCCACTGCCTCAGCTGGAGATGAGCCCCGGTCCACTCCTGAGTCTGGAGACTCAGACAAGGAGTCAGTTGGCAGCAGTTCCACCAGCAACGAGGGCGGCCGGCGGAAGGAGAAGTCAAAGCGAGATCGGGAGAAGGAAAAGAAGAGAGCAGATTCTGTAGCTAACAAACTGGGCAGCTTTGGCAAAACCTTGGGCAGCAAGCTCAAGAAGAACATGGGGGGCCTGATGCACAGCAAGGGGTCGAAGCCTGGAGGGGTGGGGACAGGGTCGGGGGGAAGCAGCGGCACTGAGACACTGGAGAAGAAGAAGAAAAATGCACTGAAGAGCTGGAAGGGTGGCAAGGAGGAGGCAGCTGGGGATGGGCCTGTGTCTGAGAAGCCCCCAGCTGAGTCTATTGGTAACGGAGGGAGCAAGTATAGCCAGGAGGTGATGCAGAGCCTGAGCATTCTGAGGACTGCCATGCAAGGGGAGGGGAAGTTTATTTTTGTTGGAACCCTGAAGATGGGTCACCGTCACCAGTATCAGGAGGAGATGATCCAGCGCTACCTTTCTGATGCTGAGGAGAGATTCCTGGCAGAACAGAAGCAGAAGGAGGCAGAGAGGAAGATCATGAATGGAGGAATAGGGGGTGGCCCTCCTCCAGCCAAAAAGCCAGAGCCAGATGCTAGGGAAGAGCAGCCGACCGGTCCCCCAGCAGAGTCCAAGGCAATGGCATTTTCTACTGGCTACCCTGGGGGCTTTACTATCCCTCGGCCTTCTGGGGGTGGAGTCCACTGCCAGGAACCCCGGAGGCAATTGGCAGGAGGTCCATGTGTCGGGGGCCTACCACCATATGCCACCTTCCCCAGACAGTGCCCTCCTGGGCGACCCTACCCCCATCAGGACAGCATCCCTTCTCTGGAGCCAGGCAGCCACTCTAAGGATGGAGTTCACAGGGGTACATTGTTACCACCCCCCTACCGAGTGGCCAATTCCTATAGCAATGGCTACAGAGAGCCCCCTGAGCCAGATGGATGGGCTGGAGGTCTCCGGGGGCTTCCCCCAACCCAGACCAAATGCAAACAACCGAACTGCAGCTTCTATGGACACCCTGAGACAAACAACTTCTGTTCCTGTTGTTACAGGGAAGAACTGAGGAGGAGGGAGCGGGAACCGGATGGGGAGCTCCTGGTGCACAGGTTCTGAACGGGTGGAACATTGAAGGGCAAGGAGGCTAAACAAAGTTAAGCTCAACTAATTGGCTCATCAAGAACGCAGTCCCCATGTTGATGGGGCAAATGCAGTAATGTTTGTGGGAGCCTGTCTGGAAACTTTTAAGTGTGTGCACACAGGCGTGCTGCCAGGCTGGCAAGAGCAGGTCGGGGCTGGATGGCGCCCCAGGGGCTGTACTATTCCCCTGCAGAACTTGACTTGATGAGACTGAGGTACAAGGGGGAAAGATGGCGATTCTGTCTTACAACCTCCTGGGTCCCATCCAAGGACCTAAGAGAAAGTAGCAGGGGAAGGTTTGGTGTGTGGGGGTGGGAGGTGGGCAGAAGTCTTGGGGAGGAATGGGCAAAGGAGGTTCTCAGTCAATAAAAGAAAACCAAAGTTCTTTAGGTTGGGAAAAAGCACATGGTGGTGGAGTGAGAGGTGTGGAGGGGAAGTGGGAAATTGGACATATTTGCTATTGATTTGAATTAAGATAGAAATTAAGGTTGGATAAATTCTCCTTGAAGGATCTGGAAAGACAAGGCAGTAATGTGTCCTCATGGGTGCCTGTTAGGAGGTGGGGGTAGTTTAAATCCGTTTGTTTAGATGGGAAAGGGAGGAACTTAAAGGGAAATCGTTTTCCTCTTAAGCTTTATTTCCTTCCAAGCAGTCATCTGTCACCTGTTACAGTTTGAGAAGAGTTGAGAAGAGATTGCTGATTACCCCCTATCTTTTCCTCATCTAAGTCTTTAATTGTATTTGTTTAAGTTCCCAGTGGGAAAGGGAAGAGCGTGGTGAGAATAGCAGTCGTGCGTGTTGCATTTTCTCCAGGTGAATTGGGACAGAACTGATCTATTTTTTAACCACGGCAATAACCATACATTGGGGTTTGAGCGCACCTTGGGAGGGGTGGGAGGACAGACATTTTAGCCAGACTATTTCAAACAAAACCAAAAACCTAAGTAGAGCACTACAATCCTTTATGGCTGCTGCATTTCTGTAGAAAGCAACTTATTTTATTGACTTTTTTTTAAGGAAGAGACCCCAGCAAGCAAAAACATTTAAGAAATGATTTTTTTCCTCCTACTTAAGTGGTTCTTTCTCCCTTTGCTCTACTTTTGGAGAATGAACTTAACATCCCGGCTTCTTTTGTTAAGCCATAGCTGACCTTAATCTGTGGTTAGTTTATTAAAATAATTAAAAATACTTTATAAGAAGAGATATTTTTGATATTAGGACTGATGTTGAAATATATAGGGGCAATTTATAAAAAGGTAGTTAGAGAAATATATTTTAGTGAACTATAACCACAGAGCACAGATGACTCCCAATGAGCTGATCTGTCTTTAGATTTCTCCCTTTCCCTGACCCATCCCTGTTCTCTAGGGGCTGGGAGTGGGGATGTGGACACAGGAGGGGGAGCTCCTTCACATTTTGCACAAAGCACAAGTCTAAACAGCCTATGCTCTGGCCAGAGCCATTTCTAAGAGCTTTAAACCAGAAGACCTATCCTGGGCCAATTTTCCTTTTTCTTTATATTATTTTCCGGGAAAAAAAAGTCAACTATGCAATTGTATACACTCCCGGGTGGATGTGAAGAAGGAGAATAAGTGTACTTATGTGTCCAGAGTATTAACTGGGGCTGTTTTTCTGTGTTTGGGTTTCTCTTTTGAGGTATGTACTCATAACCTATCCCGTGGGACGTAATCCCCACATTTGATCTAAAGCAGTTGTGCATACATGCATGCGCATGTGTGCGTACATATATGTGTGTGTGTTTTCCTCCTCGGTAGCCAGTCAAGATTGTCCTCATTGGAAATGCTCACGGTTTAGAAAGGTTATTTTCTCCTCAACAAACTCAGAAATCACCTATTTTCCAAATCTGATTTAATAATTTCCTATGGCTATTAATTCTTAGGGTTTTTTCTTTGAAAATAGATTTGTTTTAAGGAAGCAGTGAGATTCCAAAGGAAGGGATGTGTATATGTCTAAGCAGGTCTGGAACCTGGTATGAGATGAGCACTCCTCTAAGGTGCAAAATTTAAGGGTTACTATAAAACTAATTAATCAAGATACTTTTAAAAATGCAGTATTTAAAAAATTAGTGCAAAAAATTTATGTTGAGTAAAATAGTGAAATCTTACAGGATCTGACAGGACTGAGATTAGGAGGAGGGAAGTGGGACTGAATTGAGTAAGTATAGGGATGAATCATTTTAATTTAAATTTTAATACATTGTCCATTATAGATTTTTTTACATTAATTGTGATTTTTAAAAAATGCTGCATTAAAATAGTATTTATCTTGGTTACTGGGTTTTTGGGCACTCGTTAAATTTTGTGTCCAGGGTGAGTGCTTTACTCACCTCACCCTAGCTACGTCCCTGTTTCTGTGATTTGAACAACACTAGTGAGAACACCACGGTGTGCGCCTCCACCCCCATCACACACCAAACAACAACAGGTGGCTCAGACACCCTGAATTTGCACAGCTCACCTAGCTTTCCTAATTTAGGCCTTCATATCATAGGATGCTGGCCTGGACCAATAGGAATGAAAACAGACCAGGGGTTTTCCCAGAGAATAAAGCCGGAAAAGTTTGATTCTCCACTGGACTGCTGTGTTTGGATTTGATCTGTTGTTAGATTCTAGTTAATACTTTTGTTTTTAACAACTGAGGACAAATGAACAAAAAACCTTGTATCATGTTTGTTTTTATTTATAAGTTAGCCAATCCCAATTCCTTTTGCCTTATTTTCAAATAAAAAAAGATGGAAATTTTGAGGGGTGGTGTGGGGTGAATATGGTAAAATGGGGCTTTAGGCCTTATAGCTTTTTATTAAGAAATAAATTATTTTTTTTATTTGGGAAGGTAACTATTTATTGAGGCATTGAAAAACCTCTCCATTCTAAGGATGAGAGACCCTGAGACAATGGATATTTTTTATAGGAGATAGTGAAGTTTGTTTTGCTTCATTCTTTTGGGGAGGGACTTGGTGGGATGGGGGGAGGTGAAGGAATAATGCCTGGGAAATTAATATAGATTCAGCTTGGTTTGTGGTATTTGGGGAGGATGAGGGAATAGAAGAGGCAAGCCCATGTCGTTACTGGGTTAGAGAGAAGGAAAGAAGGGACATATGGCCTGCACTGGAAATGGGCAGAAAAATTGCTTAGTTAAGGAGGGGTGTGTGAGTGAAGGGGGAAGGTAGACCCTTTAACCCCAAGTGAGGGATGATATATCTCTCAGGCTTACATTTAAGTGCACTTAGTTCCTTTAATCCAGGGCAACTGGGGTACCTACTGAAGTTTTTAATGGAGAGGGGAGATTTTCAGGGTTCTTGTTTTTCCCTTTTTGATGTTAGACAGTGCTACTCCCTCCCTGCTATGCTCTCTGCCCCATCTCCAGTGGAGTAAGTATTACTGTAGGTTAGGCCTCTGCATCTTCCTTAACCTATGCTGCATTTATTGAAAGTTACAAGATTTAACCAGAAGTCTTTCCTCCATACTGGTTTTTATCAACAAAATAAAAAGATTATATCCAAAGATTTTTTTAAAGATTCAGTCTTTTTAAGGAGTGGGGATGGTGTTAAACTCAGTGCTGTAGAGGGCCATGGGAGGGAAGTACCTTGCATCTATTAGCTCAGCTTTGTTTTTTTTTTTTTTTTTTTTTTTCTATCAAGCAAAACTGAGGCCCACAGACAAACAAGAATTAGCAGTGACTTTATGTTGTATATCTGCAGGGGGATACTGAGCCCAAAAGAAGGAGGCTGGTTTTGAATGTGTTCTGAGAACCTAGCTTTTGCCATTCTTACTCCTTTTAGCCACGTGTCCAAGGTTCCAGTCACTTTTTTTTTTTTTTTCCCTCAGTAAAGAGTATTTCAGAGATGATTGTCTCTGAATTACTCAGACACCTCTGGACTCTGAGTCTTCTTTCTTTTTTCTTTTCTTTTCTTTTTTTTTTTTTTTTTGAGACAGAGTCTCCCTCAGCCGCCTAGGCTGGAGTGCAGTGGTGCGATCTCGGCTCACTCCAACCACCGTCTCCTGGGTTCAAGCGATTCTCCCATCTCAGCCTCCCAAGTAGCTGGGATTACAGGCACCCGCAATCATGCACAGCTAATTTTTGTATTTTAGTAGAGACGGGGTTTCACCATATTGACTAGGCTGGTCTTGAACTCCTGACTTCAGGTGATCCGCCAGCCTTGGCCTCCCAAAGTGCTGGGATTACAGGCATGAGCCACCGTGCCCGGCCTCTGTGTCTTCCTTCTCCAATGAGTCAGTGCCCCAGACATACAGCCACAGGTGAGAAGACAGAATTAGAAGCCCCTTCCCGGCCTGGAATCACCTGCACTCCAGATTTTTCTAATTTCCTTCTTTCCCTCCAGGCCTTTCAACTATAGATTTGGATGAGTCATGCAGGCATTCTGTCTTTTTTACTTTGCAGACACCCTGTCTGCAAATCACAGGGTATTTTGCCCCCATATGTTGGTTGGGTAACAAAATATTACGATGTCCCCATGTAGACTTTCTCCGTGCCACCTCCTGCATTGGCCAAGTGGGTAAGGGGCAGTAGAAAAGAGCAACGGAAGCTGGCTGGTAGCAGTTAAGAGGAATGGGGGTGGGAAGGACCTTGGCCTCTTTCTGTGCTTATAACTGGATCTGTGACTCATCTTGTGAGTCACTCAGCTCCACCTTCCTCCTCCGGCTGCCCCTCCCAGCAGCCTTTACCCTGGCACAAACCTGCAGCCAGACCAGGATTCTGAAAATGGAAAAATCTGACATAGCCCCTTGCCTCTCCACCCTGGTCTTCATCTAGTACTTCTGCTGGGGGTGTGTGGGATGGGGAGAGGCAGCCTTAACCCTCAGCTCCTGCCCACTCCATTCCTGGTTAAGTATTGATCCAAATCTCCCAATTTTTTTCTCCTAATTTCCCCCGACCCCCCACCTTTTTTTTTTTTTTTTTTTTTGAGGAAGAGTTTTCATCTTGTCGCCCAGGATGGAGTGCAATGGCGCGATCCCGGCTCACTGCAACCTTTGTCTCCTGGGTTCAAGCGATTCTCCTGCCTCCTCAGCCTCCCAAGTAGCTGGGATTACAGGCACCCACCACCACGCCTGGCTAATGTTTTTTTTCTTTTTCTTTTTTCTTTTTTTTTGAGACGGAGTCTCACTCTGTCGCCCAGGCTGGAGTGCAGTGGCAAGATCTCAGCTCACTGCAAGCTCTGCCTCCCGGGTTCACGTCATTCTCCTGCCTCAGCCTCCCGAGTAGCTGGGACTACAGGTGCCCGCCACCTCGCCTGGCTAGTTTTTTGTATTTTTTTAGTAGAGACGGGGTTTAGCCAGGATGGTCTCGATCTCCTGACCTCGCCTCCCAAAGTGCTGGGATTACAGGCATGAGCCACCGCGCCCGGCCTTTTTTTTTTTCTTTTTTTTTTTTTTTTTAGTAGAGTCGGAATTCACCATGTTGGCCAGGCTGGTCTGGAATTCCTGACCTCAGGTGATCCACCCACCTCAGCCTTCCAAAGTGCTAGGATTACAGGCATGAGCCACCGCCCCCACACTCCCTTGCCCGATATTTTTTCCTCCGTGTTCCTCCACTGTCTCCACACCTCAAAGTGCTAAATAATAGAATGAGGCTGTTGAATAAAGGATGGTGGTGAGAAGGAAAGTGGATAATGGGATTTAAAAGTTAGGTACACACCTCTTCCTATGCTTTTTTTTTTGAGATGGAGTATTGCTCTGTTGCCCAGGCTGGAGTGTAGTCATGAGATCTTGGCTTATTGCAACCTCTGCTTCCTGGGTTCAAGCGATTCTCCTGCCTCAGCCTCCCAAGTAGCTGGGATTATAGGTGTGAGCCACCACACCTGGCTAATTTTTGTGTTTTCAGTAGAGATGGGGTTTCACCATGTTGGCCAGGTGGTCCTGAACTCCTGACCTCAAGTGATCCGCCTGCCTTGGCTTTCTAAAGTGCTTGGGATTACAGGTGTGAGCCACTGCGCCCAGCCCCTATTTTCTTTTTACAACAGACTTTGGGAAGTATTTTCTTCCCCCAAGAGGTTGAGGCCCATGGAATGCATTAGGGGGAGGTGGGGTGGTGATGCTCTGTAGCCTTTAGGACTTCTAGAATCAGGCTTCTGGGCCACCTTCCTAGCAGGTGTATACCTCTTTGTTGCAGACTGACTTCCTGTCTCACAATATCTTCACTATTTCCACAGTTGCAGCCAAGACAGGAAACTGAAAGCTGAGGCCAGAAGGGTGGTGTACTGGGGGGAGGGAAAAATTGAATGTCACTTTGGAAAACTGGTGCCCCCACCTAAGGATTGCTGCCTCTGTAGATTCAAAAGCAATAAAACAGCAGCTCATTAACTCTTATTTTGTATTTTATTTTCTGTCTTTTTCATGTCTAAATAAAGATTTTTGCTTTGCTGTCCCCAAGTCCCCCTCCTTTAAAGGAGCTGCAGCTCCTTGACTTCTCTCCTTGTTCCCAGCTTTTCTTACCTATCTTTGCTTCTTGGGTTGCAGATGGGAGGGACGGGGGATGGACTGTTGAGCTGAAGAGAGGTTTCCAGCCCTCACCTGTGAAAGCCCTGAACATGAATCATTCATTTGGAGATCTGGTGTCTGGGTTGGAGGGGTGGAGTCACATACGGGAATGGGCACCAATTGGTTGTGTATCTACGTGATGGGCAAGATTAACTGGTAAGATCTTTTTGTCCCACCCGCATCCACAAGACTTGCACACAAGCATACTTGTACTTGTGCCTGCATCTTGGACACATTTCCATCTCTTTTTATACTTCTCCACTGCACTCTTCACATGATGTCTGTGTCATGCCCTCTAGAGAAAGACATGCAAAACCACTTTAACCAGTTTCCCTGCTTCCCCACCTAATTCCCCCCAGGTCTAATTTTCATTTTCTTCTGGAAGAGGGGACAAGGAGGCTTGAACCACTTTCACATTCCTACCCCTCTCCCTGCCCCAAACCCCTTTGAGAAGACAAAAGAACTGAGCTTCCAAGGGAAGTCATCACTGAGACACTCCAGAGAGGTAGCCCAAATGATTCCAGCTTCATAATCAATAGAGCTGCTCCCCTCAAACAGTCCCCAGTACTCATGAACAGGAAGAGAACAGGGCCTGGGATTGGGGTAAAGAAGAGAGTCGATATTTTTCTCTCGGTCCCCATTTCTCCCCAACCCGTCCGTCTCAGATTCCACCGTTTCCTCTCCACTTTTCCAGAATTGTGTGTATTCTCCTTTAAGGGGCTGGGCATCTCTCCCGCCCTCTCCAGAGTCGACTGAAGTTTCCGAGGAGACTTCTCAGGCTGGGCTGGACACACCTTTCCAAGGACCCCCACACTCTGCTCTGTGCACCTCAAATGCTCCTTTCCCTTGTGTCCAACCCCCTACCCCTCTCCCTAACTGCCCTCTTCTCAACAAGACTCAGCCTCTCCCTGAGGTGGGTGAGCATCCTTGAGGTTTCCCACCCTTAACTGCTCCGTCCCCGGATGGAGCTAGAGAAATGTGGTGGGGGGGCCGGGGCCAGAGTTTCAACATTGCCCCCCAGAAGGAGGAGCCAGAGATGGGGGTAAGGAGAAGGAATTTGGGGGGGGTGTCGGCAAGAGGGTGAGAATGGGGATGAGGTGGAGATAAAAGGGGGAAGCAAAGGTTCTAGAGGAGGAGGAGGGTGTGTCTGTCCGATCAGCTTCTGCTGATGGAGCCTGGTCTGTCTTTTTCATAGTCTCAATTTCGTTGTCTCATTATCCATTAACCAGCCCCTCCCTTTACTGTCTGCCAGCCCTGGTAGGTCTGGAGCTCCCCACAGACACTGATCTCAGTTTCCCCCGAGAGTGTGAGTGTAGGCCTCTAAAGGCAGCTACCTTTGGGGAGTTGGGGAGCCTAGGGGTTAACTCTAGACCCCCCTCAACTCTCTGGACCAAAGTCTGTCCAGGAAAGCAGGATGCCGGAGCCCAGGAGTCGTCAGCCTAGCAGTTGCCTGGCCTCCAGATGCCTCCCAGGTAATAATGCCCTAGCACTCTCCAAAGACTCTTCCAAATTTCATCCTATACCAATCTCGTTTCATGCCCTCACCAAAGATACCCCTGTGTTCCTCTCCTGGCTCAAAGTACTTCTGCCTGAGGCTCACTGTCCTCCCCAACGGCCTCTAGAGCTGGCTGAGAGCTGGACCTTGACATTCCTTCTGTTTCCTTGACCCTGTTACCCCTTTTCAAATTTACTTATTCAATACATAGTTAGTGCCTGCTATGTGCCAGGCCCTGTTCTAGGCTCTGTTCTAGTTACAGAAATTTAAATATATACACACACACACACACACACACACACACACACACACATCTTTCCTCCTCATAAGCTTACGTTGTAGTGGGCTTTGGGGAGGATTTTAATCTTCCCTATTTAGATCTCCCTTTCTCAGAGGGGTGGGTGTATCCAAGTGTGGGCAACACTGGGAATAGTCATAACGGGGCTTCCCTTCTTCCCCTTTAGGGGAGCAGATCCTAGCATGGGCCCCAGGGGTGAGGAAGGGGCTGGAA